AAAGACATGAAATTTAAAGATTAATATATCCTGCCAAATAAACTATTCTGTTCCTGCTTAATTTAATCTTGTTTTAAACAGAAATCGGTTTCCATATCAGGTCCATAAATTACAACGTACACAGTGACTTGATACTGTTTTGCTAAATTATCTTATGCTTTCGCAATGGAACTGCTTCTAAAACAAGGGTCGTGGACTATAACATACTGTGCATAGACGTAACAGGGTCTTAAATATCGAGAATAATGCCTTCTCTACGTAACTGTTATTAAAGTTTGATAAAATCACTTTCAACAGCTACATGATTACAATAAGTTCTCCTCAGTGCTTGCAGCGGATACAATACAAAGTGTTGGACCTGTCATACAACTCACAGCACAATCTGGCTCCTGGTTACCTATCTGAGCTCGTGCAGATTTACCAGCACACGAGAGCTCAGGGACCCAATGTCAGCTCATGGTTCCCAAGACGAGAACATGGCGGGAGAGCTTTTACTGTGGAAGCTCCAACTTTGTGGAACTCATTACCAATCTCCATCGGAGTGTGTTACGGTACTTTAAAGACCAAGCTAAAGACCTTCCTTTTCCATAAACATTTTCATTAATTTAACATTATACAGTACTTTATTTATATGAGTTATATAAGAATGAACTATTATTATTATTATTACTATTATTATTATTATTATTATTATTATTATTATTATTATTATTATTATTATTATTATTATTATTATTATTATTATTATTATTATTATAAATTATACTATCGTATCCATTATGCCTCAGCACAGCGATGGTACACTTTCAATAGTTCCATTGAACAATTAACGAGCCAATCATATGCTCCAGATTTTTTTTTCTATAAAAGACCGTAACTTCGACGAAACACTGAAAATCGTGAAAGTCAAACTACAACTGAAGCGGTTACAATAACTCCGTGCATTACACCCTATTTCACTGAACAACATGACGTCAAAGCCACTGTGCATTTTGTTCTTGAGCATCCTCGCTCTTAATTTTCTAATGCCGGTAAGTTCTGTAAGGCCACTGGCCCTTATATTTTACAATATTTAGCTTATTTTACAGTATTTTGTGTTGGAAAATAATATGCTCTCTTTGCTAAGCAAAATGAATAAACACAATTTGCCACTTTAAGTGTTAATTCGATGTTAGTCATTAATGAATAAAATGTATCCATGTAAGGAAAATTAACATTCATAACATTTTAAAATAAAAACATTTTTGTGCTGCTTAGAATGGACAAATTAATGATGCTTTGCCTCTATCCGCCCAGAAGATAAATGGGTACCCGGTACCATGTTGGGTAGTATGCTTCTACGCTGAATACAAAATCAGAATTTAGTACAACTATAGAATTTAGTATTTAAGCATGTTAACCTCAATGAAAATGGTTTCTTGAGAGTCGCGATTTTGAAAAAAATGCTGGAAGAGAAATACTGTACTATAGCCAATGGAGGATGATGCATCTAAACCACTCCTCTGTATACTTTTCATTGTATCATATTTTTGCCATACTGTATGTCTATTTAAGAAAATAACCATAATTATATTACTTTAGATTATTACGCGATTTCTAAGGAGTAATTTTATTTCAATAGTTATGTACTTTTTCTCTTTTATGTAGGAGGACACATTAGCAACAAATGCAGAAGGTAAGTTAAACAATTTTAAGGAATTAATTAAATTTACTGCCACCTAAATCAACTTGAATTTATATATATATATATATATATATATATATATATATGTATATATATGATAATTATAT